ATGGTCTTCCCTCTAAGGGATGGTGGGTCATCAAACAGGATACTATGAGGCTGGTACAGGTGATCCTCGTCCTCTAGAGGTCCCTCTTTCCAAAAAACTGTTGTTACTCTCTGGGTAAGCAGATATCCACTAAAGAGTAGTAATCTGTCCTGGAGTGGTGGGTCCGGAGCTCCGGAACGGCCATCTTTGAATTTCAGATGGTTAGTCCTAATCGATCTCTGTCTGCTGTCATATATTTTTTACCCTTTGATGCATCATAATAAAGTAATTTAATTACCTACTACACTATGGGAGTATTCTTGTTCCTACCCCCTGGGGGAGCTCTTTAAACTTACAGACCCACCACTCCAGGACGGATTACTACTCTTTAGTGGATATCTGCTTACCCAGAGAGTAACAACAGTTCTTGGAAAGGGGGACCTCTAGAGGACTTGGATCACCTGTACCAGCCTCATAGTATCCTGTCTGATGACCCACCATCCCTTAGAGGGAAGACCATCCATTTCCTCACTCTCTCGTATCTGATGACATCTGGATTATTTACATAAGGCGCAAATAACATGCGCGTCCGGTGAGTGCGCATTACCTTTACCACTATTGCACTGATACCGGGTCCAGAGTCACCAAAGCACAAGAGTCACTTTATCTTACATATTGTTTACAAATCGGAACTTTCGATTTTATTTATTAACTTTATTATCGGATCCTAGATGGGATATTTATGTTTTACTAAGTTATTGATTCTACTTGATTTGCATTTGATATTATATACTTCAGCGCTGCACTTTCTTGTTTATTATTTATGTTCTAGGGTGATATTGGTTACCTTTTTGTGCATAGCAGCTTTCTTTCTTTATTTAGGTGCTCGCACTCCTGTTTACAGTACAGTTAATATGTTCCTTGGCAAAGTTTACAACTTTCAGTTTGAAACTGGCTTCATATTTCCTTCTTCTTGCTGGAGCCATGATGGGGTCTTATCTACCAGCCATTTTATTTAAATATACGGTATACCCACAAATCTGTCAGCCCGCTGGATGTGCGGTAATACTGTATGTACGGTAGCTTTGGCTACATATAGTATACAGTATATATACAGACCGCTGGATATGTGGTAATAATGTACATACAGTATACAGTTATACAGTATACCGCGCTGAGCCAAGCTAGCTTAATACAAATGTCCCTATGGTAATATGTCAGCCCGCTGGATGTGTGGTAATACTGTACATACAGTATACAGAATACCGCGCTGAGCCAAACTGACTCAAAACGTACGTCCCTACGGTAATCAGCCCGCTGGATGTGTGGTAATAATGTACATACAGTATACAGTTATACAGTATACCGTGCTGAGCCAAGCTGGCTCAATACAAATGTCCCTATGGTAATCTGTCAGCCCACTGGATGTGGGGCAATACTGTACATACAGTATACAGTATACCGCGCTGAGCCAAGCTGACTCAAAACGTACATCCCTACAGTAATCAGCCCGCTGGATGTGTGGTAATACTGTATGTACGGTAGCTTCGGGGTGAAAGTGTCTAGACTTGATATGGCTAAGTGTAAATGTTTGTAGCACATAGGGCAGCCCATTTACTTGAAGGAGCTGCCCTAAGTGAGACAAATGCCCCAAAGTAGCTCTGCGTTGAATGTTTTCAGTTGTGAAAAGTCACTTGTTTTTTTAGTTCCCATCTTGCTGTAGCACTGAAAAATACACATCTGCTAACCGTGAATGGATCGTCATTACCAATTTGCCTGCAATTACATCTGAATGTTTCCCAATGCGCAGCAACCCGCCCAGAAATATTTGTGCTGCACATTTCAGACATACTCTGCAAGCATGCACTGCACTTGTGTCACCATAATGAGAAGGTTCATGTGCATTTCTGAAACCTGCACACGTTTTCTGTGCAGGTTGCCGCTTGCTCAAGCATGCGCAGATGAGAATGCAGCCTAAATGGTAATGCAACCGCAACATGCATTGCCACGCAATTTTGAAATGCAAGACAAAGTGTGCTTTTTCTGTGTGATTGCTATGTATGTATTTAGAAATGCGCAGATATGAATTCAGCCTACATGGCATCGTGAGCATGATGTGCATCTGTCATGTGTTTTTGAAGTGAACAGAATGCGTTTTCTTTGAGGGTTGCATTTGTTCGGAAACACGCAGATAGGAACATTGCCTAAATGGCAACACAAGCATGACATGAGTTTGGAGTGTGTTTCCAAGATACTGGTTGCTGCTTGCTTGGAAATGTGCAGATTTGAATGCAGGCTAATTGTTAATGACATCCCCAATTGGGGTTAGCAGACACATGTTTTGTTGTCAAAATACTCGGAGAGCTCAACGACTGAAAAGGTTTACTAGCTACTTTGGGGCATTTGTCACATGTAGGGAAGCCCATTCGAGTAAATGGGCTGCCCTTTACGTGATGCGTGATTACACTTCGGGAACATGCATTTCCACTATGCTAAGGTGTGAATGGGATGTGCTAGGGAGGAAGTTTTTAGGCAGCAAGGATGACCAGGGAGGAAAGGTGAGGGTTAAAGAAAAAAAATATTGCTTCAAAAGTAACAGCAAAGTCACTGCAATTAAGACAAATGTACGACTTGCTGAAGATTTTACACTGAAGTCCATGGGAGTCGTGCAGCTCAAGAAATGCCCAAAAGTACACAGTGGCTAAATGTTTACACTTCCACCTGGCAGTACTAGGGTTGTTGGTTCAAATCCCAACCACGGCACCACCTGTCTGGAGTTTGCATGTTCTCTCTGTGTCTGCGTGGGTTTTCTCTGGGTACTTTGGCTTCCTCCCACACTCCAAAGCAGGCCCGGACTGGCTGTAGGGCTCATTGGGCACTTGCCTGGTGGGCCGTGGCCGCTGGGCTTAAGATGACCAGGCCACACAGCGGTTTGAGTAGTTTAGCAAAATACAACTTGGCTGGACTGACACCACTCAGTCCACAAAAATGCTATGCCCAGAGTATACAACAGAAGTTAGGAATTAAGTATATTTTTGGCAGACCAACAGGTTTTTCTGTAGTTACAGTGTCTTTACAGGGCTAACACATGATTAAATGTGAATGCATTGCAGATTTGTACTAATTATTTGCACTGACAGACTGTTAGAACTTCCTAACATGGTTATATAGTGAACCTTCATCACTGTTGCCTCCTGGGATAGCTAGACACTCAAAATCCAGTGAGAAAGTGCCAACTCTTTGCAGGAGTACATTCCTGTGGGATTATGAGTGTCCAGAAGGCATGAAAGAGGCAAGGCAGCGTCATTCACACAACCCAGAAGTGGGGACTGAAATTAATCTATTTTTATCCCTTTTTTATAACTATAAGTTTTTTTACAGCTAAAATTGTTTGGGCAGTGTAGAGCTTGTAGAAAAGCAAACCTTCCATTTGTATAGAAGATCCACTTTAAACTGTTAAACAAAATAGCCATAAACAATGAAAATATGAACTATACTGTATGCTTCACGGACATTTCAACCTCTATAAATAGTAAGTGATATTTAACAATGTATAGACAGGAGTTAAGTTAAAATTTTTACGCAGGAGTGAAGTTATCTTGACCTAATCCCTTCATAACCTAAATCTAAATGCCCAGACCAAATGTAATAATCTCAAATGTGTCAGATTGTTTGACAATAACTTTATAACTAATTTGCCTACCTAGCTTTTTTACAAAGTTTTATAAAGTCATGTAAAGTCATTATTTGGCCAAATGGATTAATAAAAAGCCTGCTTTATTTATTAGGTGATGGCCAAAAAAAATAAAACAAAGCATTTCTCGGCTTATATTACACAACAGTTTATAAAATTGCCTTTTAAATATTAATTAAATGTGTACTCTGAAATTATTTGTAACCGTCTACAGCAATTCCTCAGAGATAATGGCACAGCCCCTCCGCTTGAAAAGATTTGTGTTTAAACAAAGCTTCCGCCTGCACGTGATCACTATGATTAACGATTATCCCATGATTGGAAAGCATGCCGATTGGTTCCTGATCATTAGTCCGAGACCTGCAGCTTTTAGTGATAGTATGGTTTCTGCTATTTTATAGGTAAAAGGTAGTAATGGTAGGAAGATAATGTTTTTGAGCATGAGGAACTGTGCATGAGAACAATAAACTACAAACTGGTGGTTAAATACAAGCCATATAAGGGTTACACTTAGGAGGTGTAACGGAAGCGTAGGCAGAACAGAGCACACGGAGAAGATGGGGAACACACAAACTTTATTGAAGCAACAAATTGACAGACACTCAATAGGGAAATGGCAGGGAGGGTGATGTATGCGCAAACCAGGGACTATTCCAGGCATGGGGGGGATCTTCAGCGACAGGTAGGCAATCTCCCCCCCTCGACTTGGGGCCTCAGCCGAGCTCCCTCCATGACTGGACAGCGGATTGGAGACTCGGGCAACAGGTGGCAACCTACCACTGGGCAGGGGCCCTGGGCAACAGACAGCAACCTACCACTGGGCAGGGGCCTCGGGCAACAGACGGCAACCTACCACTGGGCAGGGGCCTCGGGCAACAGACGGCAACCTACCACTGGGCAGGGGCTTCGGGCAACAGGCGGCAACCTACCACTGGGCAGGGGCCTCAGGCAACATGCGGCAACCTACCACTGGGCAGGGGCTTCGGGCAACAGGCAGCAACCTACCACTGGGCAGGGGCTTCGGGCAACAGGCGGCAACTTACCACTGGGCAGGGGCCTCAGGGACTCAACGGGACTCTAGCTGTGGAGGCTGGCCACAGCACAGCTCCCACCCAGCTTTCTAGGGTCATTGGGTTCACAGGGACTCAACAGATAGCAATGGCTCAAGCACTCAGGGGCACCACAGGTAGCTATACTCTGGGCATGCCATCAGGACACGGGTGGTCAGTGCACACACAGCGGGCGGTTCGGAACACGGGTGGTCGGTGCACACATCGGGGACAGTTCAGAACATGGGTGGTCGGTGCACACAACAGGAACAGTTCAGGACACGGGTAGTCAGTGCGCACAACAGGAAAAGTTCAGGACACGGGTGGTCAGTGCACACTGCAGGAATAGTTCAGGACACGGGTGGTCAGTGCACACAGCAGGGACAGTTCAGGACACGGGTGGTCAGTGCGCACAACAGGAACAGTTAAGGACATGGGTGGTCAGTGCGCACAACAGGAAAAGTTCAGGACACTCACGGTAAGCAGCTTGCAGACCCTCAGCGGCAGGCGGCTCCAGACAGGGACGACCAGCGGTCAGCGTTCCAGGGACAACCAGCGATCAGCAGACAGCAGCAGCTCCCAGGGCACTCAGCAGCAGACAGCCTCCAGGGACACGCAGCCATGGATAGTGTGCAGGGTCCCTCAGCCACAGCTCCCAGGGCACTCAGCAGCAGACAGCCTCCAGGGACACGCAGCCATGGATAGTGTGCAGGGTCCCTCAGCCACAGCTCCCAGGGCACTCAGCAGCAGACAGCCTCCAGGGACACGCAGCCATGGATAGTGTGCAGGGTCCCTCAGCCACAGCTCCCAGGGCACTCAGCAGCAGGCAGGGTGCAAGGGTGCTCAGTAGACAGGCTTACAGACTGGCAGGGTCTCAGCTGTGGGGTCTGACCTTTGAGGAGAAGGCTCATGCAGAGCTGTGGAGACTCCCAACCCTGGGGTATTGTAGAGGGCTCGAGTCCTGACCTTTTGGGGGTCTGCAGAGTGCGCAGGGGGGATGGCTGGGGAGGCTCGGTCCCCCTCACCTGAGCCTCCCAACATCTTTCTGGGAGCAGGATGATTCTACCCACATGGCCAGGAACAAAAGGGAAGGCTACTTCCTGTGTGGGTCTCTTGAAGATCATGTGGGACGTGGCTAGGTTGCCTCGGCAACGGCTGGCCCAGCCCTGTCCATGGAAGCCCCACAGACCTTCTAATGTACAAGGAGGAAGGGAGGGGTGGAGGGATATGGCGGGGGATGGGAGAGGCACTGGCAGTCTGTGACAGGAGGCTCTTAGGTTTATGCACAATAGGGATTTTGGCTATGGTATGACAAAGCATAGCCCTAATTCACTGCACCCTGGACCAAGACCATGGTTATAAACTTTACCGCATGTAGATATGTTGTATTCTTATATCTGGCCAGAAGGTGGAGCTTTGATTTGTATTTATAAAAGTGAAATTAAAATGGCTCCAAAGCACTAGTTTCCCTTTAAAGCTGAACTCCAGACTAAGCAAATATTGTCTAAATACAAGAGATGTGTATTGTTACTTACATTGTGGTGGTTTTTGTGTATTTTTTGTGTATGTGGGTAAAAAAATGGGCAGTCATGACAAAATGAGAACTACAACTTGGAATTCAGTAGGTAGGAGTGAAACCATATGGTCAGTGGGATTTATGTTCTTTATATTTGTTGTCACAGGGGAAAAAAGCTCTTTACATTAGTGGTCAGCAGGAGGAAAAATGCTGCATCCACTGACCTAAGTGTGCTGGCCTGAAATATATCTGCTGGTAACAGGGACTTTTTTCAATTTGGGCAAGGACACAGGGGCCCCATGATCCCCTATTGCCCGGGGGCCCCATGAGTTGTAAGGTATCCCTGGCTGGTAAGGTATCATTGGCAGAGAGAAAAGAACCTATCAGTACCCCTAACAATAATGTTCTTTATTTGCCTAAACAAGTTGTTTGGTACAATTTGCCTCTGCCTCAGTAATACTTAACTAAATAACAGTCTTCTTTATTTTATCTCTCAAACAAGATGCTGAGCTCCAGCACTGCCAGGTGAATTAATATACTTGACAATTATGTCTACATATTTACTGCACTCAGTTGGCTGAGTCAGTAACTCTGGAACTTTTCAGACATGATCGTGAAGTATAGCAATATGGCTGACAGAGCATAAACTCAGTGGTGACTTGTCAGTGGTTGTACTGAGGTGGAGCACACCCACCTCCTTGCACTGGTTACTCCACCATTACAAGATACTTTGAAATGGTTCCACTATTTAACCACTTACCCTCCTGAGGATTTACCCCCCTTCCTGACCAGGCCATTTTTTGTGTTACGGTGCTGCGTTACTTTAACTGACAATTGCGCGGTCATGCAATGCTGCACCCAAATTAAATTTATGTCCTTTTTTTCCCACGACTTGAGCTTTCTGTTGGTGGTATTCGATCACCTGTGCATTTTTAATTTTTTGTGCTATAAAAAAAAAGGCTTACAATTTTGAGAAAAAAACAATATTTTGGACTTTTTGCTATTAAACATGTCCAGTAAAAAAAAATTAAAAAAATCAAATTTCTTCATAAATTTACACCAAAATTTATTCTGTGACATGTCTCTGCTAAAAAAAATCCCAATACATGAAGTAAATTAATTGGGTTATAGGATTTATAAATAGCGGTATATATACTGGGATTTTTTTTTTCTAGTAATGGTGGCGATAAGCGACTTTTAATGGGACTGCAGGGCTGCGGTGGACATTCTGACACTGTGGGGAACTGACTTGGTGTCACTGACATCCACAGTGACACCAATACAGTGATCAGTGCTAAAAAAAGCACTGACACTGTACTAATGGCACTGGGCAGGAAAGGGTTAATATGATGGGTGATCAAAGGGTTACTTATGAGTAAGGAGTGTTTTACTAGGGGGCGGGGGTGTATGCTTCACTGTAAGCACACTTCTCTGGAAGGCTGAGCAGTGCACAGCCATCCAGAGCAGTGTGCTCGACAGGGAGGAAGACTGTTAGTAAAAAAAAGTCTTCCTCTCCATCAGAGATGCTCGGTAATCACCGGGCACCGGCGAGTAATTACTGGCCAGGACCCGGTGATTGACAGCTGTGGCCGCAAATGCTGGTGCAGGTAGGCGTGTGTGCTGCTTGCGTGTGCCCCCCTACCAGGAGATGCAAAATCACATATATACAAGTGATTTTGCGCACACCTGCCACCCTGTAGCAGTATATCTGCTATAGGGTGGCAGGGATGTGGTTAATGAAGCTGAAAATGAGTATTTCTTGGTTTAATAATGCATGTCTACATAAGTACCAACAGAAAGTGTTACACTTGGCACCAAATGTTTGCAAAAATTATTGCTTATTGCATCAACTGCTTTCTAAAATCAATGTTTCACATCACAATATAATAAAAAGGAATGTGGAATGCAGATATAGCACTGCAGTACTTGTTCATATGCTAAGAAAGAAATTTCATCTGATGCTGAATACTTGGATTTTCACAGAAACACTGGATAGATACATGTTTGCATCCATTGCATGCGTATATATTTAAATACATGCCTTTGCAGCTTTCAGTTGTAGGTACACTGTACTGGAAAACAGTCGCAATTGATATAATCAGGGGTGAAAATATACATGCTAACATTTTCTAGTACACTACAATCAGGCAGAAAGTAACATATAAGTGAGTGTTAATAAGTAGATGCCTACCCAATCGGTTAATGAAAAAAACAATCTTTCTGACAAGCACTTATTATTTCTTATGAAAATACTGAACCAAGGAACTAAATACATTTCAATAGAATTGGATATTTTTTTAATAAAATAAATGAAAACCTGTATTACTTTACTGTATATACCTAATAAATCACTAAAATATGTTTGAAACTCATTAAAAACGAGACACATCACTCAACACCATCACCTTTTCTAAATGCAATAAAAAGAGCTTGTGTATATGAATAAAAATACATGCGTGGACCCAAATATGGCAGGTTTATAGATTTTTGTGCAGTAAATAATGTCTTTCAATATTCAGTTGGCCAGTTCACCAGCCTGAACATCCTGCTGCAGAAACAGCAGGAAGTAATTCATGTTTTGGTGGCATTATTACTCCATTAACTTTACAATGTGTTTGTGAATGAGTAATCAGGGGTATTTTTTTTTAGGAAGAGGCTCTTGTCCTATTCAATATGAGGACTTTGCTAGAAGGGTTCCCTCAGAAAGATACCCTCCCCATGTTGAGGGCATGTAGCCTGGTATGGTTCAGGAGGGGAACACACATGCTTGCTGCCCACCCTTTCCTGGCCAGCCAGGCTGCATGGTCCAATAAGGGTGTGGTATGGGTTTTAGAGAGGCCCCATGCTTTTATTTTTTGTTTTTTTTTTTGCCTGGGATACTCCTTGAAATGCATACCAACCAAAAGGGTCTGGTATGGAATTTGGAGAGACCCCATGACATTTTTTTGCATGTGATCCAGTTTAACATCCATACCAGACTCTCATCAAGGATAAGGATCTGATATGTAGTCTTTGGAGATTTTTTTTTCACATGAGGTCCTCCTTAACACCTATATCAGACCCTCATCTAGGATAACAATTAAGGAAATTTCCAGTCACTTTGTGTTACAAACAGAACAAAGTGACCAAAAATGTGATTTAGCAGAAAGTTATAATATATGCGTTTATGATTTTTTATATTTTTTTCCTTTGTAAATGCCAGTTTTGCCGTAGTATATTGTAAACATTAGTCAGATGCGCAAATTCAAGGTTTTACCCAAACTTTGGATGTTTGATTTTCATAGACTGGCTGAACAATTTGGCCAGGTCACCAACCCAAACACCCTGCTGTAAACGCAGCAGGAAATAACACATTTTTTGTGGTATTATTACTCTGTTAACAATATTTTGTGAATGAGTAATCAGGTATATTTTCTTTGGAGAAGAGGCTCTTATCCTAATGAATATGAGGACAAGTGCTTTACCAGGAAGGCCACTCTGGCAAGGTACCTTCTCCATGTCGGGGACATGTGGCCTAGTATGATTCAGGAGAGGGACATGCATGCTTGCTGACCACCCTTTCCTTGCTAGCCAGACTACAGTAGATGTATTTCACACTGCTAAACACTCACTGTCCTGGGTGCATTCCTAAGTAGGTTAAATGTTGCAAAAAGGCCTAGAGGCACATGCAGGTCTTGCCCCATTGAATAAGCCATTGCAAGACCTACATGTTCCTTGAGATATATATATATATATATATATATATACATACATACATATTTATTTATACGAAAAAGCGATTTCATGTGCTTAGTGTACAAATTAGAGATATGTGACAACAGCAACACTGAAATATCTGAATAGCAGAAATCAAAACATACTTCTCACTAAATAGGTGCATTATCACTTTAAAGTGCTATTCATACCAATGTAGATACAACGACAATATATTTTTAATAAAATTAGTGCAAAATATGAAGAAAATTAAGAATAAAAAAGAAATCAAAGATCAATAGTGAAAAAAAGAGTACAAAAAGTCTGTAAATTGACAATATCTAACTGTGAATCTATCCGAATGATAAATGCTCTCTAAGTGGATGACAACAGCATTCACACACTCCTTACCAAATAGAAAGATATCAATAAACAGAAATCAATTGCATTTTGCTGTGATATAGCCA